GAACATTGAGGATTTGCACAAGGAATATAGAAGAAATTATATTAATGTTATTTTGAAAAAGAAAAAATAACATTTGTGCCTCTCACAAAGCTATGGGTTGGACTCTCAGTTTCATTAGTTCAACTACAGTTACACTCTCAACTTTGAATTTCTGGGTCTGGTCTTCTTCCAGAAGGAGTGCCTTCTGGAAAGACCTAGGAGCCTCTTCTGTCTCCCACCTTTCCCTGCAATCACCTCCTCCCTCTCTCTGAATTACTGTTCTCCCCAGTCCCCACTTACTCTGTACACCACACCTAGATTAGTGATCACTTAGGAGGCACCAACCTGGGTTAGAGCTTTATGAAGATCGTGACTGCATTTTTCCACTTCCTTATTTTCAGTGCCTTATTTTCAGTCAAGTATTTGTTGGATGAATCAATGCAGGCATGCAAGAAATACTATCCTAGTTCCAACTGTGTGTGGACCATTACCAGGTGACTGGGTATCAACGCTGATCCTTGTCAGTGCTAGTTATCTCCAACACCTCTTCTCCCCTCCATCCATAGTAATAGAAATTTTAGCTGGGCACTCCCTAGCCTCCCTTGCAGGCTGGATATGACCATGAAACCAGATTACGGGCCATGGGAATGAGCAAAAGTGAGGCGTGTAATTGTATGCAATGACCGGCCTTAAAGGGTAAGGGGGTGCCCTTGCCCGCTTCCTGTGTGGGGGTGTGCATGGCGTGGTGAACCATGTGGGACTCCTTGAAGGACGGCAACAATTTGGGGATAGAAAACCCCTGGCCTCAGATGACTCCACAGGCCAGACCTGTCCTGCCAGCACATCTTTGACACGAGCACATGAAACAGAAATAGCTTCTACCTTGTGTAAGCCACTGGTATGTGGGGTCTCTGTGACACACAGCTGAGCCCACATCCTGACTAACACCAGGCGTGCACCGCCCAAGGTGTGGCCGCTCATCAGAAGTGAGGAGGCTTGCAGACATCTGTAGTCAGCCAGTGACAGCCGCTGGGGACTCACTGGGCCTACAACCCTCCCAGTAATATATGTAAAAAGCGACAACAGTCACTGCCTTAGACAGATAGACAAGATCCCTATACATTCATATCGTATGAATGTATAGAAAATAGAGGCCGTCATTCTGGGGAATACCGTGACTGCACGAGCCTGACAAACTGGCTTGGTCAGGGCAAGGGACACAGACTGCAAATAACTTTGAAGTTCATGTTTTTAGTCTCCCCAAAGTAGGTTCTTACTTAGCTCACTTATTTCTGGCTCATTCTCTTATACTTTACCTATATCTGTCCTGTGCTAAAGAATCTCTTGATAAATGGTTACCCAGTGCCCTCTTCCTGATTAATTTTCTCCAAGAACATCATGTCCTTAATTCAACAGGCAAGGTTATCACTCCTCAAGATTCCTTTTCTTTTTTGAGATGGAGTCTCGCTCCGTCACCCAGGCTGGAGTGCAGTGGCGTGATCTCGGCTCACTGCAAGCTCCGCCTCCCAGGTTCACGCCATTCTCCTGCCTCAGCCTCCCAAGTAGCTGAGACCACAGGCGCCTGCCACCAAACCTGGCTATTTTTTTTTTTTTTTTTAGTAGAGACGGGGTTTCACCGTGTCAGCCAGAATGGTCTCGATCTCCTGACCTCGTGATCCGCCCGCCTCGGCTTCCCAAAGTGCTGGGATTACAGGTGTGAGCCACCACACCTGGCCACTCCTCTAGATTCTTAACTCTCCAAAGCTAAGATTTAATACAAACCTGCTAGAAATAAGCTGAGTGATATCTACTGGGTTTCCAAACCTCAGAGCCTCAGCTTCCTCCTGTATGCACTGGAAAGGATGAACTAACGCCCTCCCAGATCTGACAGTCTAAGAGTCCAAATAGCTCTAGGGTGCCCTCATCGAATATATTGTCTTCCATGCACTCTCTATAGTATACACTTTATACATTTCTTCTTCAACATATCTTCACAGTTATTTTTTCCTGCACTGTAAATTAGCAAAGCCATAAAAATGAAAATGTGTACAATTTGAATATGATGAACCTGATCAGGAAAAAAAAGTACACATTAAAATTTGTGCAAAACAAACTATAAGCTTCTCTAGACAGCTCTCTGAAAAAGGTCCATTATAGGCCGGGTGTGGTGGCTCACACCTGTAATCCCAGCATTTGGGAGGCCGAGGCGGTTGGATCACAAGGTCAGGAGTTCAGGACCAGCCTGGCCAAGATTGTGGAACCCCCCATCTCTACTAACAATACAAAAATTAGTCGGGCGTGGTGGTGCATGTCTGTAATCCCAGCTACTCGGGAGGCTGAGGCAGAGAATTGCTTGAACCCAGGAAGCGAGGTTGCAGTGAGCTGAAATCATGACACTGCACTCTAGCCTGGGCGACAGAGCAAGACTACATCTAAAAAAAAAAAAAAAAAAAAGCCCATTATTCTCATGACTTATTCTATGATTTTTGTCTCTCCTCCCAGCCAATTGCAGAGTTCTAGCAGAAGAATTTCAAAATCTGCTTTTATCTCTTTAGCCCTTTAGCCTCTTCCTCAATAATGAATTTTGAAAGCAGCATACCCCTTTCCTACCCAAAACTCTATAGACAACTGACTATTTTGCAAATTAATAAGCAGGGTTACCCCACAGATAATATAAGCGCTGTTTTAGGACCTAGATGCCTTAAATTGACTGTAAAGAAATCTTTTCCTAATGAACTTACCTGGACCTGAGGGCTGCAGGCTGGACCCAGGCGCTGTGCTAACCAAGAATCAAGGTCCAGCTAAATAAAATCAGCCTTCCTGCCGTACAATTCCCCAGTGGATATGTCCATAAAATAGCAGGAAGGGGAGGGAACAGAGGAAGGCCAAGATGTCCTGGAAGAGCTTCAAGAATTACTGCAACACTTAGGTAGCATCTTCTACCAGCACC